ACTAACAATCAGAGCAATGTCGATGTTTCCCTCAAAAATATCCTTTTCATTACTATAGATAGGAACCTAATTTTGGACCTTCCATGCTAAGGTTGCCGTAACTTATCACCTCGTGACCCTTGCTTTGTACGAGATCCAAGAAAAGGGAAAATAATAGCGAGGTCAAAACTTACATGCTCCTTTTCATGAAGCCAATCAGAGAGATCATCGACTTGGCGAACGAAGCGATGATAACGACCTGCATCTACAAGTTGCGTACGCCTCCTGTTACATTCCTTGACTAGGTCTGAGTACGAGGTTTCTAGCTTCGCTTGACGGGCTGCGATCTAAAAGGTTACTTCTGTTCAACTGCACTGAATTAAAAGGAATATGATTGTTACTTCATATAAAAAGCGCCGGATATGTAGAATTTTAAATTATTAAGAATTATATCAGCAGAGGGACTATGGAAGAAGGAACTAGAGGAAGATCAGCAGCTACAGATTACCTGATTCGCATCCTGATGGTCTTGTAACGAATCGCAGCGTGCACGTAACCTCTCCAACTCGTTTTTAAATTGAGCTACCTGCAAACATAACAATTTGATTCCTATTGAATTCCAACAGAAGCGCTTGTTCCCACCTCTTTATCCAACACAGTCAGTCTTCTTAGGTATCCTTCAGCCGACGCCTGGTCGCGACCAGTCTCCTGGTTGACTGCGACAAGCATCTGGTCCTACAAGGAAGGAAATTACTTGTCAGGAGCACCGTAGGAAGCACTAGAGAAGCAAAAACTCACTCTCATCCACTGTTCCGCTTCAGCTGCCTCCGTATAGTACTCATGGCTGTCTACAGCGTGCTGTAGTCGAGCTCGTCGAACAGAGCAAGCGTCCTGGAATAAGTATCGTGCTATTGGAGCTCTGTGCATACATTAACCCTTGGACATACCTTAACAGATAGCAGAGCCGTTGCAAGGTTGTCAATCATTTTCTCTATTTGAGGACTGGCAAAGTGTTTCGCTCGCACCATGGCCAGACCTTTTGATTCAATCTCATGAATACCAGCCTGAACTTCACTCCTTCTTCAAAACTTCTTAGCTTCAAAAAATGTAAACTGCCTTCTACAAGAACGTACCTGACGTGATTCCAGTTCTTTTTCCAGAGCCATGTGTTTCTTTTGCAAACTAAGCGCTGAATGAAGACTGTCACCGCATTCTTGGTTTCGAGCCAAAGGCAATCTGTCAGAAAGCCATTCAAGCTCTTCTTCAGCACAAGCCGTCCATTCGTACAGAGCATGGGCATCGCGTAGATTTTCTCTTGAAAAAGAAGGTCCAACTTATCAAATGTGAAAAAATAGAGTTCAATTTGAATATTACCTCCTTATCAGGACTGGCTCGTTTAGTGAGGAGAACCTTGCGTCTACCTGCTCAGCAGCTCCAAGGATCGCATCCGACGTTGGAGACCCAAGAGTTTTGATCTCACGAGCTTTCTGCATCAGATCGTGTACAGCTTCAGCTCGTCCCTGGGATCAAGAAAGATAAGTTAAGGGCGTATTCATAGTAGTGATTATCTAAACCGACTAAAATCACTACGATCGGAACGAGTTAAGCGCACCCTTATCTCGGCATCCAATGCGTCCAACTTCTTCATGAGATGTTCAACAGAAACCAAATCACGACCGTGATCTTCAGAAGCGAGCTCATTTTCAATCTTAAACAAACAACTATAGTAGGCTCTTCACGGTTCCATAAAAAAATAGTAGCCACTCAAAAATTGCTCCACTAAAATAGCCACTGGAATTCTGCTCACCCTATCGAGCCACCTCTCCATATCTTCTACTTTGCGTTGGAGGGTATGTGCTTCATACGCCTCACGAAGTCGTTGGGTTTTTAATGCAGATTTCGTGCGCAGTTCATCCCAACCACTTCGAAGCTCTCCAAGTTGAGCACGGACCTGTAACAGCGACAAAGAATATTGAGCGGTCCTGGGGAGCAAAAAAGAGACGAAGAAACGAAAACAACAAAATGCAAAACAAGATAAATCCGATTTCAGAATAACGCTACTGCTGACCATATATCGTCAAAAGTCATACATAACATCCCTTTTCTGAACGATTCCAGTCTTACCTGTTCACTCATGAAATGCTTTTCCTTGATCAATTGTTCTCCTTGCGCTTCAACAGCCACGAGACGCTTCTCGTTCTCCGTGAGCTCAGAATCGAAAGCAAGATGCTTTTGAAGCTTGGCACGAAGATTGGTAGGGTCGAGGTATGATTCATCATAAGCAAGCTGTAACATACAATAACGGCATACATATCAACATTCAATACTGAAACGATCCGCCGAATTCCTCACTTGCAACTTGGCGTTGATCCAAGTAATCAGTTCGCCACAAGTTCTGATGAATTCGTGATATTTTTTGCTGTCGCAAAGGAGTCCACGACGTTTCGAAGACGATTCGAGCATCGCAGCATGGCGCTGCAGGACTTCTTCACATCTGAAGCAGCAGAACTTACAGTATAGTAAGCGTCAGAAGGTTTTTCTTAACCTCTTCGAATTCCCACCTTGCTTCGACAACTCCGCGGTATTCATTATCACTTTTGATGAGTTTGTCAGCATCAGCTTTCAAGTTGTCGAGTTTTTCACTTTGCTTCCGCACAGTCTCTTCAAATGCATCATGCGATTTGATCAGCATCTAAACAAACCACTCGAATTACATTTCACACCTACAAAAGGTAACAGTATAACTGGTTCTAATTTGTACAACCCATAGAAAAATACAAAGAAAAAAGGGCCACTCTCAAGGAAAACTCTTGGAAGTAAGACCGCACTTCATTCGATAAAATCAGGAAATCCACATAAACAACAATAACACTCAAGTTGGTACATGACCCTACCTGGACAGCATCTGGAGCATCGCCAATGTCTCCTTGTTTGAGAAGATTTTCCTTGTCTGCAAGCCATCGCTCGCACATTGACGCTTGATCGCACCACTGTAGCCATTCCAGCATACGTTGGAGGGAGGCCTAAAATCGTCACCGTTCAGTTCCATATTAAAAGAGTCATAGGGAAGGATTCCAGAAGCAAAGAATATCACCCATCAACTCGCCTTCTCGGCTTCCCATGTCTGCCTTAGCTGGTGTTCAGAGTTTTGGACGCGCTTGTGAGCGCGCTGTACCTCTGGTTTATGTTCTGGTTGTTCGGCAATAAGACGCTGCCCTTCCTCATGTAACACATGTAGCTCATCCTGGAAGAAATTTAGTTGCAGACTTATATTTTTGTATTCACTACTTAGTAATGCAAGAGAACCTGGCGGCCGTCGATTTCAGCTCGCCGCTCCGCATGTTGAGCGATCAGCTGTTCAGCTTCTGCACTCGTCTTCGGTTGCTGGTACGATGTCATTTTGTTCCGAAGCTGTGCTGCCCATTGCTCTGCTTTTTTCACTTGATCGATATATTTATGGAGCTTGTATCTGAAAAAATCGCGCTTACATCTACTGGAACAGAATCCATTTGAATGATCCTTGCTTGTAACCTCGCAACTTGTAAGATATGTTTGATATTGACAAAGAACAAAAACTAACGATTTGTCTAGGTTCTCGTTTCGCAATTCGGCCGCCTGGCTCAGCTCCTTCCAACTTTCTTCAAGCTTCTTCAATGAATCCAGGATGGTATGCTTGAGCGGAGGTTTCTAAACGGTCGTCATATGAAAACTCAGTTTTCTCAAACTAGAACTTCGCATTCAACAAGAAATTTACCTTAGCAAGAATATTCTGAGCATCTTTATCATGAGCGATGAGTTTTTGGTGAATTGCGCTCATGTCACGTTCGAGGGCAGTCTGTTTCCGTAACAATGCATCAACCCTGAACGAAATCCCAGACTAATTCCGCCACTTCATTCGTAAAGCCAAAATAGTCTCAAGCAGATCAAATAAGGT